AAATGAAAAGATTTTTGTAGGCAAAAAAATTGTCTTTTTTCTGTTATGACGTTTCTTTTTTCTTTTTCTTTTTATAAGCGCTATAAAAAATGCGGTGAAAGTTGGGCTGATATAGAAATGGAAGGGAGCAAAGGTTGAGGTTTAAGGGATCCGGGAAAGCAGGAGGCAAGGGTGTGGGGCACGAGGACGAGGAAGGGAAAGTAGATGGGGTGGGAAAAACTTGGGATCCCGGCAGCCCTCCGGGCACAGCGGCCGTCAGCGCCGGTCAGTTCGGTTCGGGTTTGCCGCTGGGATAATTCACCAAGTGACTGCTGTCATCGGCTTTCCTTCCCGGTTGTTAGAGCTGACAGTGTTGAAACAAGAAATTTGTTTCTGCTTTTTTTACGACCGTAGTTGTTATGGTTATATAATTGTTATTTTTATTGCAGAAGATGACAAAAAGCTGACCACTAGCATAGGACACCGCTAAAAATGTCCAATCTCCGACGTGTTGACCGGTGAAAAGGAAAAAAAAAAAAAAAGAAAAAGGAGAAAAAAGGAACAAAGAAAAAATAAATTATATTTTCTACTTCTTTTTCTCTTTCTCTTTTCTTTCTATCGTTGCTTTGTTTTGACGAAAAGATATAAATTCATCGCTTTGATTATAAAGTTTCTAGCAGACAAGTTAGAAAGCAAACTATTCTCATTTAGCTATCCTTTTTTTTTTTTCCTTTGTTGATTGGCCTTCTCCCAACTGGTAGCTCCGAAAACGACAAGAAATAAAAAACAACAACAACAACAACAACAAAACAACAAACAATAACACAGGAACAGCAACAATAACAATACGAAACAGCAAAAAAAAGGAAAAGGAAAAGGAATGAAGAAGATAGACGGAAAAAAAATTTTGGAAATTTTTTTTTCTGGTGTTTTGTTTTCAGCTAGTTGAGCTTGTTTTCTTTTTATTCTTCTGTTCTACTCTCCGCTAGTGTCTATTTTTTTTTGCTTCTTTTCTAACAATATGGCTCTAATGATTTTGTATAATGCTTTCATATTCCAGATTTTTGTGTGTTGACGTCTGCCATCATTTGGATCTCTGGAATTAATTTAGACCTCAATAAAACTTATATTTTTACTTTCCTTTTGTTTTTTTTTTTCTTTTTTTTTTAAAACTATTTTTTCAATGTTATTTATTTTAAAAGTTCTTTTATAAGGGAACACCAACATAAGAAGAAAATTGGTTTGTGAGTTTTCCATGCAACAACGTCTGTATTACACACCATTCCATTGTTGGATTGATGTTGATCAGTGTTCAAGCAATTTGTCCTAAATTTTATTTTCGTGGTTCACCTGTCGATTTTCCTGCAGTGATGCTCAAACAATTCTAGCCAAGAATTCTGAGGCTCTTTGCAGCAAATTCTGTCTCCTGTGCTAAGCTTTTCATAATTCTTTCTATCTTGTCCTCTTTACACTTTTTTAGGTCTGAAGTTTGAAGATGCATTGCTTAAGTATTGTAAGTTTGTTAAGCTTTTAATCACGAAAAAAGTTGGCGAAATAACAAATTGCATAACGTAGATATTTCAAAAAAGGTGATGACAAAAATTTTGGTAAAAGAAAACACTCTTTATATATTTGTTATTTACTTATTTATTTATTTATTTTTTTTTGGCTAATGTATTTACTAGCTGTTCGATAATGTCATACAGTTTCTTTTTGTTTCTCTTTTCGTTGCTGACTCAGCAAAAGTTTTTGCTGTTTACGATAAGTGACACAAATGAAATTGAAAGATTAGTATTAAAGTTAAAAATATTCTTTAAATTTTGGTCTATTAATGTTTTCTCAACAGCGGTAGCGCTGACGATGGTGAGGGTGATGATGATGATGACAGTGATGTTCGCTTTTTCTTCATGCTTTTTTTATTTACATTTCAAAAAATGTCGTTTGTGAATTAAAGTTTTATTAAGGATGTCAAAAAATTTTGCACTCGATTATCATCAGTTGTTATATTGTTGTCAAACTGATCTCAGAGCGTGAAGTTTAGGAAGAAAAATGCGTCAAAAACACAGAAGCGAAGAAGCGTATGGAATGAAATTGGGAAGAAGCAGATGATTGTAAAAGTTGTTTTAAGTTTTATCAAAGTTTAGATAATGAAGTGGTTGTCGAGATTTAAGGATAGAGACGGTTTTCGTTGCGAGTAGGAAAAAAAACACAGTTTGTTTTTAAGACCTGGTGACCCAAATTTCGGAATGCTTGCGCTCGATGTATTATTGCATGAGAAACGGTAGTGGCATTGTGCAAGGCAAGGCCAAGGCCAGCCACCGGCTGCTCGACATGAAAGTTTACATCGCCGTCATCTGGGCATCATCAAGCACCGATTGGTTTTCCATCATTCTCTTTTCAATTTTAAAACTCTTCTAAAACGTTTCAGTTTTTTTCTCTCTCCTGTTCCCATTATCCCTTCTCCATTTCAGCTTTTTTTCCGGTTTTTATTCTGTAGCACGGTTGTTGTTGTTGTTGTTGTCGCATACGTTCTAGCTGAAGAAGATGTAGGAAGTGTCATTTTGCTGGGTATCTGGCAAATTAATGCAGGAGAATGAAAGGACTCAAGAACTGTTGAAATAACAGCATACAACAGTTGCTTCTCTCTAGCTATTTAGATATGACTCAAATTTTACTCCTCTGTTTTGACCATTACTTTTATCAAAGTTTATTTGAATTAACAAATGTTTAGGTTATTGC